TAGGCTGTTGGTGGAGAAGCAGTTTTGTTTGGTGTTTCCTCAGACTGATGAAGCCCTTCGGATGGAGGGCGAAACGTCTCAGCACAAAAAATAAACCGTCCAGATGACCTGACTGAATATTGTTAGTAAATCATTGAATGTATCTCTACAAATTATAATATTTTACAAGCCATTTTAAGATGGCTGCCACAGCCTATTGACCTCATATCTTACAAAGTTGGTATAAGTCACAGTTTTACACATACTGAGCTAAAATCTGATGTGGAGATAGCTAAGAATCATTCACAACACATTATCTGAGCATGGCATCTTGTATTATTGTATGTGATTGAGAATAACATCATTTTCAAGGTTTTAGCTAGATCTTTATTTCTTAATTAGTTGGGAAAAAAAATGTATGCGCACTTGCTAACTAGAGTAAGGCATCATAAATAAATGTACTTACCTTATGTTCCGCAAAAACACCAAACGAATGTGGACAATTCAGACTAAAAGCCGCTTTTCTTTTTTTTTCTTTTTTTTGGGGGGCTCAGTTTAAGTGTAGAGACATTGTGAAGTGTTTCAATGAACTTATCATCATCGCTCAATTTTTTTATTTTTTTTTAAGAAAGAGAAGAAAGAAGAAAAAAATAAATAAATAAATAAAAGAGAAATAGATAAAACGAGAGACCACCATGACAAAACAACATGCACAGCACAATGCCACCCACAATATCACCATGAAACATTCGACATGGCACAAGGAATCATCTAGCTTCCACCACTACCCAACCTAGCGTGCATCTGTCAAAGCACCTGAATCCAAACACCCACGCAAGCACGCCCGCCACCACCAGATTTCTCAAAAAAAATGCCCAATAGTGGATGCGGGGGCCCACAGACCCACCCCCCCAGGACACAATGGCAACACAGGGAGGACCGGAGCCACAGACACACAGCAGCCCCCAGGCCCGGAGCCCCAGGAGTCTCCCAACAGGGAGAACCGCACCCCCCCAGAGAGGAGCAGAGGAAAGAACCGGGTGACCCCAGCAACCACAATGCAGAGCCTCCAGGAAGCTGCAGCGACGAGCCCACAGGTCCGGCCGGCAACCCATGCCCCCCAAGTAGATCCGGCCATGGACACCGAGCCCCAAACCCCGAGGCCATACCACCCCCCAGCAGAGCCCCGACAGAGCCAGGGCACCCAGGCCCCACCAGGCAGCAACCAGGGCGGACCGACGTACACCCCACCACCCAGCCCAGACACCGAGAGCCACCAATGCACCGGCGGCAAGGGGGTCCCCCGCCAAAGGGGGGCTCGACCGGGGGGAGTGGACCCCACACCAAACGTGGGGCCCAAATTGATCCAAGAGAGGGGGGACCACCAAAAACCCAACCTGAGCCACAAACAGGCACACACAGATAGCCCGACAGAATTTCTGTCGGGCCGACCGCATGCACCATCTACCTGACAGCGACCACAGGCCGGCCCCAGCCCAAGGGGCAGAGCAGCAGGGAGCAGCAGGGAGCTGCAGCCGAGGAGGGCCGGCTCTCACATCAAGAGCTCCGCACCATAGGCCCGGAGACGCCCCAGCACGCCACCTACGCACCCCCAACACACACACAGCACCCCCACCGCAAATGCCACACAGGAAGACCAGCCAGTGCCCTGATGAGGCGAAGCCACGCCCCCAACCGTCGCCCTACACCACCAATGACCACACATACACTACCATAGCCGACCCCCCGCTGAAAGCCGGCAGCCACCCCGGTCAAAGTGCCGGCCATCGCAACCAGGAACCTAGATTAAAAGAATCGGAACAGCCCAGGGGGAACCGGAGCACCGGCCCCATCACCAACTGCCCCCAAGGCCCAAAGCCCACCCACAGTCCAGACCCCAACAAGCCCCCCATCCCCGACCCCTAGTGTCACACAGAGAAAGGAGGTGTTTGTGGGAAAAAATAAAATAAAATCTATATATGCATAAATAAATTTATTTATGCATATAAAACCGCTTTTCTTGATTTTCTTTCATTTTGTTCTGATGCAGTTTTTACACATAAACAATGTGCTCGACCCGTAACTTTATGGAACATTTAGTTATGTAAGCTAAGTATAATTTCACACCGATGAAACAAAGATCAAAGTAGCATCTCTGTAATTTGACATGGGGCAAAGTATTTAAACTGACAGTTGACTTGTCCGGTGTTTTACTGTTTGGCATTAGTCACACAACAAGTTGTCCTTGAATTTCTCTAGCAGTTATTGTACATGTAAATTTAATTATATATATATTTTATGGATGTATTCAAAGCAAGAGCTTCTTCCGCTGATGTACTTTCCGTGACATCCTTGTCTGAATCCTGCAGGGCTGGTATGGATTGCCTCAGTGGTGGTGGGTTCACCAATGCTATTTGTGCAACAGCTAGAGGTAAGTACCCTTCATAAAACTCCACTGATGAACAGCTTTCTATGGTTGCCTCCAGCTGTGACTTCACAGGAATATAACGCTCCAACATGAGAGTCAAAGAAGGGAATATTTTAAAAATATCAGAACTGATTATCATAAATAATGTTTATCTCGATATTGATGAAAACGTGTTTACTGGGGTTCACATTCCTGCTTCTAATCCTGCCAAACTAGAAGTTTAATATTAGTTCATGCAGTGTTCCTTTATTTGTATGTTTTTTTTGAGAAATACTTTCTTTTCCTTTTCTATTTCATCATACTCTGTGACTGATGTAGCAGCGAACAACTAAATAATGGACAGAGCATCACTTCGAAAAAAGCCAGAACACATCTTTAAAGCGGATTTAGATGTGACAGCAACACTTGAACTATTCAGCATACCTGCTGCCAGAAGTTTCTTTCCTCAACTGGTGCTCCCCCCAGGCTACATCTGGCTTTTAAGCTCATCCCATCCAGCCTGGGCGGTTCTCAAAGGGAAATGACATACAGTCCGATGTGTTAGTTATAACCCAGCCCAGCTCAGAAAACTTCAAATGTGTGAAGCGGCAGCAGAAAAAAGATGTGCAGCTGAATGCTTAAAAACATCTGTGTTAGTATGCTTCCTGTGTAGCGAGAGTTCAACTGCCAAACAAGTGAATCGCTTAAAAAAAATAATGGAATGCTTTGCAGGAAAGTGAGCATATTTGATTGAAGACCCTGTATGGCAGGTTCCTCTTCTGGCTCAGCCTCACCACAACAGATCATTACAGCATCTGCAGCGCATATGTTTCTCTAAACCACCTGTCAGTCTCCTGTTCACAAGACGATGCAGTACTTCAATGTCTATCTTCAGCAGGGGTGAAAATAACGAATTACAAATATTCACATAACTGTAATTACGTAGATTATTTGGGTACTTGTACTTTTATGAGTATTTCTTTCAAGTGTGTGATTTTACTCATACTTAAGTACAATTTAGACCATGTAACCTACTTTGTTACTTTTAAAATCATAAGTCTCTACTGAGTACGGCTGCAATTTGAATTAATATTCAAACCGTTCATCTGCATCTTTGTAGCCAATAAGGCTCTCAGATCAGGAATGAGACAGTTACCTATGATGTAAGCAAAGGACGACTCCGTAGAGTAAAGTCATTTATGGGCCCAAGATTTGGAGAAAAAGCCAAAATGGAGACAGAGAACAACACTGTCAACAGAGAAAATGACGAGGTAAAAGCTGAGGATGAGTGCCTGTGGCCGTACCTGCAGGAATTTTTCATGTTCAAAGGGCGAAAAGGAAACGGCGTCCAGATGCAAACTTTGTTTGATCTCTACGGTGATAGCAGCTTACAAGACTTCAGCATCTAATCTCAAAAAACATATTGTGGTACGAGGTTTTACAACTGTATGATGTTGCTTTTTTATTGTTTGTATGTGTGGGTTATTAGTTTGGCTAAGTATGCAAAGATCAGATACTGTCACTGCCATCAGTTTGCCTGGTACTAAAATAAGATGGAGCGTCTAAGAAATGGGCTTTGAATGCAGCGATTATATACAATAAATCAAACTGAATGCCTTCTGTTGACAACACAGTGAAACATCAATTGGTTAAAATTAAGTAATACTCCGAGGATTTTTTGAGGAGTACTTTGTACTTTTACTTAAGTATTTTTACAACACCGGTACTTTTACTTGTAACTGAGTACAATTTAAGCAGTGTAACCGTACTTGTACTTGAGTACAAATTTTCAGTACTCTTTCCACCTCTGATCTTCAGACAGGAATTCATCCAAAGGCAAATTTTCAGCTGATAAAACTTCAGGACAAATTCATCTCCTTATCAGTTTACACTTGACTAAAAATGTCTTCAAGCTAAACCCAACCCCTGAAGAGTGGAACAATCCCAGTACTGAACTGGACACTTTCAGTTGTTCCCAGACGTATTGTAAACAAAGGTTTTTCTTTTTGACAAATTACAAAAGCTTTTGAGAACAAGCTACATGGGAGATTTTTTGAAACGCAATAATGTCACAAACAACTCCAGTTTGTGAGTCTTTCTGTCTGAGTGGTGGCACTTTAGACTGGAAATTGAAGTTTCAAGTAGATTAACAAAGTCCATGTTCAATAATCCAGGTATACAATCCAACATTTTTCAGTCAGGTCATCTGGACAGTTTCTTTTTTGGGGCTGAAACGTTTCACCTTCGATTCTTCCCCCAACAGCTTACTCCAAAGTGGAACAAACTAGTTATGTTGGTGATAAGATGGTCTCTTTGGCACGCCCCCTCCTCCATTGCCGGCCCTCTACCTGGTTGACAGTTGTGTCAAACTGGTTGAAAACAACAAAGTCCATGCTCAATAACCCAGGTATACAATCCAACATTTTTCAGTCAGGTCATCTGGACAGTTTCTTTTTTGTTGTTGTTTGTTTGTTTGTTTCAAGTAGATCCTTGCTGTCCTGCCAAGGCTGGGCAAAGTCTGGACTAAACAAAGCGTTCACTTCACTGCTGTTGTGAAGATAAAAGGAGCCCACAGTGTTTTTACCACTCAGTTTGCACTGAACAATCTGCCCAAATGTGGCCCCCGTGTTCCCTTATGACTCAATTCAGTCACAATTCCATTATATTTGATGCAGATCACAGAAGAATCCCATAATCCCACATCAGTCAGAACTACTTGATCTGTGTTGGCTAAAAGTTCTCCTACTTTCCATCTCCAGGTGAAGTACGACTTTCTGTACGACCATTACCACGTGTGCTGTCAGGAGAGCTGGCGTTCCCTGACTTACAGGCAGGTGTACACCACCTTCATCATGGTGGCTCTTTTCCTGTTACCCTTGGCGGCCATGCTGTTCCTCTACACACGCATTGGCATTGAGTTATGGATCCGCAAGAGGGTGGGCGACGCCTCGGTACTGAACACCATGAACCACAGGGAGATTGGTAAGATTTCCAGGTGGGTATAACGCCAGGGGTGACTTCACCTAACAAGATTCAATCATCGCACTCGGACACGTAGTTCTTTCTGCTTTTGCGTCATTACTATCAAATTGGTTACCGCTAGCTATTACTTGTTCAGGACACCTGCGGTTTTCCCTTTTTTTTTCAAACTCAAAAGTTTGGCTCGTTAATTTTCTGAAACACTAAATCCTGCATGGAGGCTTTAACTGGAGCCGAAAAAAATAGGTAGAACATGCTGATGCTGGTTTTGGTGGAGCACTTTAATGGAAGCATCTGAATCAGAAAGCATTGCAGTAAAGCGGAAATCATCCTATCCTTAATTTGCTCCTAGTTATGGAGCTAATTAGAGTCATTGTAGCTCAATTTTTTTACATATTTTAAAACATTGTTTGCAACTTCCTTCCTTTTTCAAATGTTTCAATGTTACGAAAGCTTCTAGTTGTTCAAACTCTGTGTGTCGGTAGCTGTTTTCCTGCGAGGATGTCCTCAGTTAGACCATTACTCAATCTGTTTTGCCCAGCAGATGCCATGAAATGAAAACAGTGCATAAAAGACAGAAGCAGGAGTTTGTCCATCTATCACCCCCACTGCTCACAAGCATTGATGTTAAGTTTATAAAAAGAATTTAATCAATGGATAAAGAAGAAAGTAACATATGCATGGAAACTGAGATTAGTAATAGTTTATGACAACAAAACGTTCTTTAGTTTGTCCTTCCTGTTGTTTCTCATAAATAAGGAGCAATCTTGTCCCATTCTATGGTCCAGCCTTCAGCTGCTTTCACACTTTAATGATTTCAGAATAATGTGTTTTTATTGAATGTTTGCTTGATAAGAATCACAAATCAGTCACAAATTGTCTGAGTGAGTTCCATCCATCCATTTTCTTCCGCTTATCCGGGGTCGGGTCGCGGGGGTAGCAGCTTAAGTAGGGAGGCCCAGATTTCCCTCTCCCCAGTCACTTGGTTCAGCTCCTCCGGGGGAATCCCAAGGCGTTCCCAGGCCAGCCGAGAAACATAGTCCCTCCAGCGTGTCCTGGGTCTTCCTCTGGGTCTCCTTCCGGTGGGACGTGTCCAGAACACCTCACCAGGGAGGCGTCCAGGAGGCATCCTAACCAGATGCCTGAGCCACCTCAACTGGCTCCTCTCGACGTGGAGAAGCAGCGGCTCTACTCTGAGTCCCTCCCGTATGATCGAGCTTCTCACCCTATCTCTAAGGGAGAGCCCAGACACCCTGCAGAGAAAACTCATTTTGGCTGCTTGTATCCGAGATCTTGTTCTTTCGGTCCTAACCCAAAGCTCATGACCATAGATGAGGGTAGGAACGTAGATCGATTAGTAAATTGAGAGCTTCACCTTTTGACTCAGCTCTCTCTTCACCACGACAGACCTGTACAGAGCCTGCTTCACTGCAGACGCTGCACCTATCCGCCTATCGATCTCATGCTCCATTTTTCCCTCATTCGTGAACAAGACCCCAAGATACTTGAACTCCTCCACTTGGGGCAGGACCTCCTCCCTGACCCGGAGAGGGCACTCTACCCTTTTCCGGGTCTGAGTGAGTTGAAGCTTAAAACCTATCTACTTACTACCTGCTGTAAATACATGTTAGAATGTTCTTAAATTGGATAAATTAATTATTCTCTTACTGAAATAGGGTTAAAATCAAAGTGTAACACTGGCATCTTAAAACATATCTAATCTGAAACATTTGACATCCGTTAATGTAAACGTTTTCTCTACCTTTACACAACTGCTGATTTTACTTTACATGAGTATTATACCAGAACTATTATTATATTTCTGCAGGAACTGCACCAACTTGTGACTATGTGCTACAGCTATCTGCTGCTGCTATTTGTACTTACAAAACCTGATTTTTGTGGAATATGCATTGATTGTGAGTCAAATTTAATGACAGTGTTTTGGAATTTAAAAACAAGACCTGATTGTGAGTGGTCTTAAATTATTGGGCAGTAAATAAATATCCCCAATAACCAACGTAGGACCATTCCCTTGCTTTGTTGCAACACATTGCACTGAAAGTCAGTGTTGAAATAAATTCATATTATACTAGGGGCTGAATTGTATTTTATCTTGTAGGTTTTTGCTGCTCATGGATCTTTAACAAGTCCGATTGTTGGCTTTGTATTGAGTACATACATCAGCTACAGACCAACAGTGGCAGAGAAAGTACTCTAACACTGTACTTAAGTAAAAGTACAAATAAATAATAAAAATTTACTTTAGTATAAGTAGAAGTACCACATTAACCTTTTTACTTAAGTAAAAGTAAATAATGACTTGCTTTTAAAAATACTTAAAGTATTAAAAGTAAAAGTATTATTGAATACTGAATGTATTACCCAATGCAATGGTTTACAATGTCAAGTGTGCCTACCGTATGTACACTACATTGCCAAAAGTATTCGCTCACCTGCCTTGACTCACATAGGAGTTTAAGTGACATCCCATTCCTAATCCATAGGGTTCAATATGATGTTGGTCCACCCTTTGCAGCTAGAACAGCTTCAACTCTTCTGGGAAGGCTGTCCACAAGGTTTAGGAGTGTGTTTATGGGGATTTTTGACCATTCTTCCAGAAGCACATTTGTGAGGTCACATACATGTTTGCCTCCAACATACATACACATATGCCTAGATGCTTCATTTTATACACCTGTGGCCATGGAAGTGATTGGAACACCTGATTCCAATAATTTGGATGGGTGAGCAAATACTTTTGGCAATGTAGTGTATAGTAATAGTCTTTCAATAAGGCCATGGGTGGCACGTATCTTCTGGATGACTCTCCTCAGTGGAATCCATTTTGGGTGTGTTAGCGGTGCTGCGTGTGCGCCCAGCTCAATGACGTATATACTAGAATATACGTCATTGGTCCAGCTCTTCTTGAAGGTGGGTCTAACGTTACCTGCCCACTTTGCAGTGATTCAATGGACCAACTCCCCTCTCACCATTGGTTACTTTCAAACTAACGAACAAATCAAAAAGCCGCAACGTGAATGTAACTTGTAACGCAACGCATTATAGAAATGTAGCGTAGTAGAAAGTACAGACACTTAATGTAAAATGTAGAGGAGTAAAAGTAGAAAGTACCCACGTTCAACTCTACTTAAGTAAAGTACAGATACGTGAAAAATGTACTTCAGTACAGTAACGAAGTATTTCGTTGCATCCCACCGCTGCAGACCAGACATTCACAACATATTTGCTGCAGCTTTCTGTTATAAACTGTTGAAAGAAAAAGGGTGACATCAGTCATGTTATCTGCTGCAGCTGTCATGTTCTTGCTAAAACAACATTAGCATGCAATACATCTGACATTTAGTTCTTCGTTTTTATGACCATAATGGCTTTCTTTTTTTTTTTTTGAAAGGAAAAAGAAAAGAGCTGTTAAAATGATGGTTACCATCGTCCTTCTATTCACCGTTTGTTGGGCACCTTTCCACACGGTCCACATGCTGTTTGAGTACAGTGAGTATGACTTAAAGCCCTTACAGGACCAGGAATCTTAATGAGCGTTTATTTAAAAGTTTAACTTCCCTTTGTGTTTGAAACTGCAGATGACCTGGAGAAGAAATATGACGGAGTTACTCTAAACACGATCATCGCCATCGTTCAGGCCATCGGGTTCTTCAACAGCTTCAACAATCCGATTGTGTACGCGTTCATGAATGAAAACTTCAAAAAGAGCTGCGTCTCCGCCCTCTCCCAGTGCATCCGTAAACCCAACCAGCAGGGTGTCGCCGCAGCGGTGCCGGGACTGAGCGTGCAGTTCATCAAACCCAGAAGCAGAGAAGCCTTCCTGAAGCCACATGAAGGCGACAGCTCGGAGCAGCACTCAGTGGAAAAGGGCGTTTCAAGCTCATCTCACGGAGCGAGCTCCCTGGAAGTCATGGGGGAGAAAATCTCAACAATCCAAACAGAGCTCCATGCAAACAGTACCTCTCAAGGCAAATAAGACTGAACTGGTTTGAAGTTTGGGTGCTTTACTCTAAGACATTAATATTTTGTATCATCTGTCAGCAAGTGATGACGTGATGAAAGATGTCTTTACTACAGTCTCTACGGTGCCAGGAGTTAAAGCATAGGAGGTGTTCATGAGCACAACAGGATGGACTTCAGGGGTTTTATAAAGGAGTGTTTGATTATAAATATGGGGAGTAAAAGAATGCTGAGACACTGACTCAGCTGTTTCTTATCAACATCGAGAAGTCATTTGGAATTCACATCATTCAGTCTTTCAGTTGAGTTTAATGACGTTTCCAGACGACCTTGAACTGATTTTTTGTGTGTGTGTGTGTGTGTGGGTGTGGTTTTTGCTGCAATATAGGTTGCTTAAAAATATATACATAAAAAATAGACTTTAAAGTATAGAATAATGCTTTAAACTGGAAAAACCACCAGGAATTTTACTGGAATTATTAAATTGTTTTGTTTGAGCTAGTCAAAAACGCTTCAAGTCAGATTAATTCAGCTGCAAACGTTGTTTAACTTAAACATCTGAAACATTTTGTTTCACATAAAAACTATTTCAAGGTTAAAGATAAAACTGCCACTTTTTAATTTATTTTTTGTTATTTCACCACTTGTGATTTCTTGAGGAAAAATCTAACAAAGACCAAACTTGCACAGTTTTAAAAAATGTATCAGTCTTTGGAATGAAAATGAATGCACCGTCTGCGGTCAGGTTTGAACTAAAAAAAAAAACATACAACACTAACTCAATCATTTCTCAACCAAGCTGTGACACAATCTGTTTAACATCCATCTATAAAATATTGTTGATGGATGGTGGACAACGCGTTGCCTTTCTGAAAATTTTCTTTAATTCCATGGTTTGTTTGTTTTTGTGCATAGGATGGTATTTCACTGCAAGTAGTGGATAATGCAGTTTAATGTCTGGTTTTTATGTTCTACGGTGTGTTTAATTTACAGAAATGCATCAGGAAATATATTTATTTTTTTGCACTTATGTATTGTTAAATTCAATCAACTGGATTTGAATATATTTCCATCTGATTCCAGTACATCTGCCAGTTCTTGTACCTCATTTTTTAACCTTTAATATTCAATTCAATGTTTCCTATAGGGACACACGATATTATCAGCATCGTATTGGTATCGGATAATAGTAGCGATACCAAAGTTAAATATCGGACATCGGCCATTCCATCAAAATAACTCACCGATATAAAAAGTGATATATATATATATATATATATATATATATTTTTTTTTTTATCCAGGTAGTCTCACTGAGCCACGAGAACTCATTTTCAAGAGAGACCTGTTTAGGGAGCAGATGGTGGGGGTTAAGGGCCTTGCTCAAGGGCCCAGAGTGGGGTGAATGAGGGTGGAGGCAGGTGTGGGTGTTCCACCTTTTACACCCACATTTTGACGTTGACGGTACCGGGAGTTGAACCTGCGAATTTCCAATCACAGGTCCATCTTCTAACCTCTGAGCCACCACTCCCCCATATATCATACTTCCTATATATAAAGGCATTGTTGTTGTATGACAACCCAGTGACAAGGATGCCTGCAGCGCCACACAACATTATGACGTCACGCACGCCGTTGAGTTTAGTTTTGAGAAAAATTTACAAATTTCCACTTTTCGAGTGTTGTCATTGTGTTAGAGAGAGTAAATGTCATGAATAAATTTGACATTAAACATAATCCAAGTTGAAGTGTTACATCATTTTCAGCCCCGTTATTTGGCATCTGCATTTGGTAGCAGGACAAATTGACAAAGACCATGCAGAATAATGTATTTTAATTCCACAACAAAGAAAGCCATGTAGTCTCTGTACTTGTATCGGTTATTGGCCAAATAAGTTTTAACATATCGGCTATCTGCCAAAAATTGAATATCGTGTGTTCCTAGTTTCCTATTTTTACCCAACTGAGCGTTGCCAAGTTGGTTGCGTTGTTTGCTTATGGAGATGGAATTTAGTCACATTTCTTCCCAGACAGTCTCAAATGTTTAGGTCCATTTACACCTTCATCTATGTGTCCTAACATCAGAACACAGTAGTCAACAATAAAGGTTGTGGCGGGATACTTTCTGGTGTCAAGACCATGGTTTTCACAGAAATCAGATCTTAACTCAAATGAACACCTAACAATGAGTTGACCTGGTTTGACAGCACTCGAAGGAATCTCTTGGCATAATCTTTACTCCAGAGTTGATCTAGTTACTTATTTAACTGAGGTTAGAGTGTCCTCAGGATGCTTTGGCACCAAGACACTTTTTGCTCGTTCTCTTTGGTCAGATTGGTTCAGAAACATGAATATCAGTTTTTACGAGTTATCAGTCTTGAAACTGAGGCTTCGTGGATTATTTTGACCCAAGGGTAGCAGGAGGGCTAAAGCCTTTGTTGGTTTTGACTAATCGAAATGTTCATAGTTCATTAAAATAGAAAACTTGCCATCATTAATTATTTTTGTATGAAAATGAGGCTAACTTTGTTAGTAATTGTCACTGTGGTGGAGACTTTATGAATCTATTTTTTGTTGCTAATTTATGAATGTAAACACTGAGAAAAACTAAACAAAATATAAAAGACAAACTATACTGAAGGAATCAAAGTTTTTGTTACAGCTTTCATTTTTGTAAAAATAAAAAATGTTTTGTACAACAAGCAATAATGAAAACAGAGGGGGTTTTTTTTTTGTGTCTAAAATGTTTCTCAGAATTTAAAGCAATATGATTTTAATTATTATGGTTTACTTTAAGAGTCTATATTTGTTTGTACTGTTTATCTGTGAAAATCTTGGGAGTTAAAAAACCAGGTTGAAGCTCAGAGGTGATCGGGCTTTTTCAGTCATGGGCCATAAACTTTGGAACAATCTGTCCATTGACATTAGACAGGACACTTCACTCTCTGCTTTACATCTCTCCTGAAAACACACCTGTACTCACTGACATTTAACACAGTCTGATCTGATTTAGCATTTCATTGTTTCTGACTGTTTTTATTCCTGATGCTGTAATTATATCTCATTTTATTTGATGCTGTGATCTTTCCTATTTTAAATATACAATATATAAATGAATCTGACTTGACTAGTAAAAACAGTTTATATCTGTATATATTTATAGAAAAAATGCTTCTAAAGCTTCAGCTTCTCCCCTGAAGCAGTCCAGCCCGTTAGGCCGAGGAGCTCTTTAGGAGTCAAAGGGAGCTTCACAAAAAACAGCGACTCAGATACATAAAACAATCAGCCCCAAAGTTACATTTTTTATTAAAAATATGATGGCTGTGAAGGGAGATCGTTTTTATATTTCAAGCACAAACTGTCAATTTAAAAATGACTGGGTTCGCAAGGTGGATCCACGTTTTTAATACTTGAAATTGTAGTGCATTGTACAACAATTTTCGCTTTCTTGTCAGTTACTGCACATTTTGGCCATGCAGTTAACATATAATTTGACATATTTTACTCAGCCCAACTATTTAAATATGTTTAATACATCCTGCTGCTTCACTTCTTACTTTTGGTTGAATAAAATGGCAAACTCTGACATTTAAAATAAAGTTGCGATTGATAAATCATCGTCTATTATTGATCTGGGTCAAATCTTATGATGCTGTGATCAACAGGAATTCCTTCAGTACTTCACTAAGATGCAAATGTCAATAGTTCTGTTTTACATTTTGGCCCATTTACACCATGTAAGAACTAACAAGAGAACAACCATGCCAGCCAGTTTTAGAGACATTTTAAATAAATAATTAAATAAATCAACATTTGATGGTATGATGGTGTCAAATTTTGAAGATCTCTCCTGGATCTAAGGGACTAAATAATTAAAATCAAAGCAGTTTCCATTTTGCCGTTCAACAAAACACCTTGAAGGCATTAAAACAATAAATCAGTACAGAACAAAATAAAAACAAGTGGTTTTCTCTTTCTTAGTTGGGTAATTTATTACTAAATATGTACATCTCAGCATTACATACCGTAAAGGAACTTATGAAGTCTAAAATGTTCATTTTAAATAATTACTGTGGTGTAGAACTTTACACAACAAATGTTTTGTTTGCAGTTTGGAACAATCAAATCTATCCAAAAGAAAGCTGCGATGAAGACATACTGCAAACTGAACTCAGACCCAAAACCCGTAAAATCCATTCTCTTCATGATTGAAGAGGTAATCGTTTTCAAGTCTGCTCCAGTCTGGGTTGTGTGATCAATAATTCAGTGTTCTGTGTTAATCCACTACAAGAATATTAGGTTTTGTAATGTCAACAGAGGAGGCAATGTTGAACACGTAAAAAAAAAAAAAAAAAATCATCACAGAGGGGTTTGAAGCTCAAATTGATCTTCACTTTGTAGTTTTTTGCAAATAGTAACAAAAATATGACTATTTCTTGCTAACGAACTAGCTTTGTAAAACAAAATTCAGCTATGACAAAGCCATGGAATCAACTTTCTAAAAAAAACAAAAACAAAAGAAGACTTTTGTCTTTCAGCTCCTTGAAGATGATATTTAAGTCTCAGCAGGCACTTGTATTTGTCTTCTCTTTCTATAGAAACTCAGCTTTGAACATAAAAACCCTTTAAAGTTTGTAGCCGTTTCTCTCCTTGGCGCTATGCAGTCAGAGGTATATGGAAATCTGGGCTGTCGAAGAGGAGCGGTCTTGTGACAGGAGTGGGAACTTTGTCAGCTTTGTGCAGGAGTTTAAACAACCCCGTTCCAATATTCATTGGAATTCCCATAATGATGCACTCAGACACCCCTGAAACAGGAACACAGATGACGTTAGCGCTTGAAAAAGTCACGAAGAGTAAAAGCTACCGTCCTGAAAGAGATGATGCTGAAGTTTACCGCAGACGGAGTCTTTTTGTCCAAAGTAGGCAGCATCGAAAAGGTGGTCGGCTGTTTTCTCAAAAGAAGCCAGCATGAGGACACTTTCCTTCATTTTGGCCAAACCAAACCTGGTGATTCCC